AAATTTTATGCGGAACCCCCGGATCAGAAGGATGGAGGAGATCAATTTGTAGAGATGATGCTCTTTGATGGATGCTTTGTCGTTGAACTTATCCGTAAGATTGACGCGAAGGAATTGACACAAGACAACGGCCATCTTCTTACACATTTTATTTTGAGAACAGTAATGCGGGATATGTTGCTAATTGAAAATCAACTTCCTTTCTTTATACTCATGGTGTTGTTTGACCTGTCTAAGATGCCAAACGAAGCAGATCAGAACTTCATGCATATGGCTATTAATTGCTTCTCCATAATGATGCCAGGACCTTGTAATAAAAAAATTAAGAATCATCCAGGCATCAAGCATCTACTGGGCTTACTACATGATAGCTGCATTTCACCTGATTACGGGGGATCTTCAGAAGAAGACAAGGGATCATCAGAAGAAGCAAGGTGTTCGCCCTGTGAGTCACTTGATGAGAAAGTAAACCCTCTGTCCTTTTCATCAAAGGTTTCACCACCTGAGTCGCCAGAGGGAGTAAGGCTTCGCTCACCTGAGGCAATGGCTATTGCCTGTTCAGCTAAATCAGTGAGTTCTTCAACAACTAAGCCATCAGAGATTGTAAGGTCTCTTTCCTCTGACGCACTTCTTATGAATCGCAATCTCAGCGGTTTGGAGTCAGCAAGATCTGCGAAATCCAAGTCACGACTACTGTCTCTGAAAAATCACTACTTACAGAAGTGTTCAGCATCGTTTGCAAGATTTTCTCCAACCAAGACATCAGAGGAAGAAAAGTCTCTGCTCTCTAACACAGTTCTTATGACTCCCCAGCTTTCAGAGATCGAAGCAGGGTCAGTAAGTTTTGAGGTATCCCAGACGTCAGGGGGAGTAAACCCTCGGCCCTCCGATACAATTCTTACGAACATCCACCATTCAGGGATGGGAGCAGAATCGGAAAGTTTTGTGGTATGCGTGTCTTCAGTAGGGGCTATTGAAGATTTACGGACAGCAAAGTCAGAAGGTCATGAAGAGGAAAAACGCAATTGGCAAACAATAGGTTCTGCATCAGAGCTTCATGGGGCAGGGATCAAGTTTGAAAATAAGATCGAGGGTAGATTGTTTGATATAAATTTTGAAAAGGGGGTAATGTCAATTCCAACCTTAAAAATTGTTGATGATACAGAATCTATCCTTCGAAATTTAGTTGCTTATGAACAGTGCTACAAGGACATATCTTCAAGACACTTCATAGACTATATTAGATTCATGGATTGCCTCATCAACACAGGGAAGGATGTTGAATTACTCCGTCGCCATGAAATCATTGAAAATAGGTTAGGTGATAATGAAGTGATTGCTGACATATTTAACAGAATCTGTGATTCTGTTTTGGTTGACGAAGATGACTTCTTCTACTCCCAAATATTCAACAAAGTGAACAAATATTGCAGAAGAAAGTGGAACCAGTGGAAGGCAAACTTAAGGCACAATTACTTCAACACTCCGTGGGCATCAATTTCCGTCATTGCAGCGGTTATCTTGCTTCTACTTACTGTTCTGCAAAGCGTATATTCAGTTCTCGCTTACTATCATCAGCCGGACGGAAATCTCCTCCCTAGATAATAGAGGCAGGAGTATGGTGGGGAAGCAAGAGGGAAAGTCGTGTTCCATTTATCTATATGGTTATATGTTTATTTTTCTGTTGCAATGTTTTGCAATAAATGAAAGTAGAAGTTCAGACAATTGTTTACCCATTTGACTACTTCTAAAACGTAGTATAATGTTATTATGCATGTTGTGAATGGCTCATGTGGTATTATTTCATGCCCTTGGGGACTATAAAAGTCCTTTTCTCTCCTTTGGGCCTTGGACTTTAAATTAGGCCTCTGTTGCTTCAAGTCTGGGCCTATTTCTTCCTCTTTCTGAGCAGTGACCAAAACGAAATAGCATAAAGTCATAAACCACTCAAGCTTCAGCATTACGACAATGGCTGAAAAAGAATCTGAGTACGACAGTACTTCGGACTCGAACCTAGTCTCCGA